GATTATCTTTTAATAACCAATTACTCTCTCGAATTTTGTACATGAATGAGCAGTTACCCATCAATGGCTGACTCGTGCAGACTCTTAATAACTCAAACTACATCTTTCTCAAATACTTGAACAGTATTTGACCTTAAATCATAGACTTATTCAGCATTAACGTTCAAACTTGCACAAAACTAGGACAAAAATATTAATTACTAATATCATGAAGATGGTGAAACTTTCAGAAAATATTTTAGTAAAACCTAACATGAGATAAATACACAAGACTAAATGCTAATTTTAAAGGATGAGAATTTTTTGTTTCTGACAGCTTCCGAAAGTTCGTACCAGCGAGATGACCGCGTTATGTTCGTACCAGCGAGACGACCTCGTTATGTTCGTACCAGCGAGACGACCTCGTTATGTTCATACCAGCGAGACGATCGCGTTATGTTCGTACCAGCGAGACGACCGAGTTATGTTCGTATCAGCGAGACGACCTCGTTATGTTCGTATCAGCGAGACGACCTCGTTATGTTCATACCAGCAAAACGACCGCGTTATATTCGTATCAGCGAGACGACCTCGTTATGTTCGTACCAGCGAGACGACCTCGTTATGTTCATACCAGCAAGACGACCGCGTTATGTTCGTACCAGCGAGACGACCTCGTTATGTTCGTACCAGCGAGACGACCGCGTTATGTTCGTACCAGCGAGACGACCGCATTATGTTCGTACCAGTGAGACGACCGCGTTATGTTCATACCAGCAAGACGACCGCGTTATGTTCGTACCAGCGAGACGACCTCGTTATGTTCATACCAGCAAAACGACCGCATTATATTCGTATCAGTGAGACGACCTCGTTATGTTCGTACCAGCGAGACGACCTCGTTATGTTCATACCAGCAAGACGACCGCGTTATGTTCATACCAGCAAGACGACCGCGTTATGTTCGTACCAGCGAGACGACCGCGTTATGTTCGTACCAGCGAGACGACCTCGTTATGTTCATACCAGCGAGACGACCGCGTTATGTTCATACCAGTGAGACGACCGCTTTATGTTCGTACCAGCAAGACGACCTCGTTATGTTCGTACCAGCGAGACGACCGCTTTATGTTAGTACCAGCGAGACGACCTCGTTATGTTCGTACCAGCGAGACGACCGCGTTATGTTCGTACCAGCGAGACGACCTCGTTATGTTCGTACCAGCGAGACGACCGCTTTATGTTAGTACCAGCGAGACGACCTCGTTATGTTCGTACCAGCGAGACGACCGCGTTATGTTCGTACCAGCGAGACGACCTCGTTATGTTCGTACCAGCGAGACGACCGCTTTATGTTAGTACCAGCGAGACGACCGCGTTATGTTCGTACCAGCGAGACGATCGTGTTATGTTCGTACCAGCGAGACGACCTCGTTATGTTCGTATCAGCGAGACGACCTCGTTATGTTCGTACCAGCGAGACGACCGCGTCATGTTCGTCCCAGTGAGACGAAAATGTTAGATTTGTATCAGCGAGATGACCGCATTATGTTCGTACCAGCGAGACGACCGCGTTATGTTCGTACCAGAGAGACGACCGCGTTATGTTCGTACCAGTGAGACAACCACGTTAGGTTCCTACCAGCGAGACACTCTCCTGTCACAGAACTACCCGAAGTTTCAAGCAACGCCAAACTTTTCATTCGGAACAATCTGGCTGAAAAGTTTAATGGGGATAGAGCGAGATATGAACCAATATCTGACTCTTAATTACATTTTTATAGGAGAAAGAATTAAAATTGGGAATCCAAAATAATCTAAAATTAAATGCAATGCAGTTTTAATTGCAATTCAGACAACATGGTGGCAATTAAAAATATTAATATTTGTGTGTGTGTGCGAGAGAGAGAGAGAGAGAGAGAGAGAGAGAGAGAGAGAGAGAGAGAGAGAGAGAGAGAGAGAGAGAGAGAGAGAGAGAGAGAGAGAGAGAGGTAAGAGACCTGGCACTCAGAACATGCCACAGGTGGCTCCAGGTGGGTCAGTTGAGAGACGGGACCAAAGAGCCGAAGCTTAACCCCCGCAAGCACAACTAGTTGAGTACAGCGAATTATCAATAATTTCTCCAGTGTCAATAATACACAAATATATAATACTGAGGAGTGACATAGATATAACTGTTTTTCGATATAACAGACCCGAGAGGGACATGAGCCGGTCGGCCGAGCGGACAGCACACTGGACTTGTGATCCTGTGGTCCTGGGTTCGATCCCAGACGCCGGCGAGTAACAATGGGCAAAGTTTCTTTCATCCTATGCCCCTGTTACTTAGCAGTAAAATAGGGACCTGGGTGTTAGTCAGCTGTCACGGGCTGCTTCCTGGGGTGGAGGCCTGGTCGAGGACCGGGCCGCGGGGACACTAAAGCCCCGAAATCATCTCAAGATAACCTCAAGATGACCCCAAATAGGCTCGGGAACATGTTATTCTCCAAGTCGAATGATGGTCAAGAGACTCGGAGAGGGGGGTCCAAAGAGCTGAAGCTCAACTCCCCAACAAGCACAACTTGGAGATCACAACCAGGCGAGTACATACAAACACACAGCTGGTCTTTAATATAAGGCACGCAGCACAACAAAGGTCTCCGAGTGCCTTAAGGATCTCTTCAAAGAGTGCCTCGTAGAGCGGCTCCTAACACCCAAAGGGAACCCCATTGTCTGGTTTGAGGATATGAATCACAATGAAAATGAAACCTCTCACTAGTTTGTTGTTTTTGTATGGGGGACTCGTGCGTAAATCAGAGTTTGTATTTATCTATACTGGATACAACGCGGGGGGAAACGAGTATGTGTGTGTATACATGATACAGGAGGGAGAGTGAAGGGTTGTATATGTTAAGACGATATTTATAAGGTATTAAAAATCAACAGCGAAATGGACTTTGCTTCTGGTTTATTAATTTTTCTGGTGCTTGGTAAACACACACACACACACACACACACACACACACACACACACACACACACACACACACACACACACACACACACACACACACACACACACACACACACACACACACACACACACACACACACACACACATTTCTTGACTGCCAAAAGGCCTTTGATACGGTACCGCACATGAGACTGCTATACAAACTTGAGAGGCAGGCAGGAGTAAGCGGAAAGGCCCTAGTATGGGTGAAGAATTACCTAACAGGAAGGAGCCAGAGGGTAATGGTAAGGGGCGAAAAGTCGGACTGGCGAACAGTAACAAGTGGAGTACCTCAAGGATCGGTGCTGGGACCAATCCTCTTTCTAATTTACATAAATGATATGTTTACAGGAGTGGAGTCATACATGTCAATGTTTGCAGATGACGCAAAATTAATGAGAAGAGTTGTGACAGACGAGGATTGTAGGATCCTCCAAGAGGACTTAAACAGGCTGCAGAGATGGTCAGAGAAATGGCTACTGGAGTTTAACACCAGTAAATGTAAAGTTATGGAAATGGGATCAGGTGACAGGAGACCAAAGGGACAGTACACAATGAAGGGGAACAGCCTACCTGTAACGATTCGAGAAAGAGACCTGGGAGTGGATGTGACACCTAATCTAACTCCTGAGGCACATATAAATAGGATAACGACAGCAGCGTACTCTACACTGGCGAAAATTAGAACTTCATTCAGAAACCTAAATGAGGAAGCTTTTAGGGCGCTTTACACTGCCTACGTGAGACCCGTCTTAGAGTATGCCGCGCCATCATGGAGCCCCCACCTGAAGAAACACATAAAGAAACTGGAGAAGGTTCAGAGGTTTGCGACGAGGCTTGTCCCAGAGCTACGAGGGATGGGATATGAAGAGCGGCTGAAGGAACTGAACCTTACGACACTAGAGAAAAGGGAGAGAGGAGATATGATAGGGACATATAAAATACTCAGGGGAATTGACAAAGTGGAAATAGATCAAATGTTCACACGTAATAATAACAGAACGAGGGGACATGGGTGGAAACTGGAAACTCAGATGAGTCACAGAGATGTTAGGAAGTTTTCTTTTAGCGTGAGAGTAGTAGAAAAATGGAATGCACTTGGGGAACAGGTTGTGGAAGCAAATACTATTCATACTTTTAAAACTAGGTATGATAGGGAAATGGGACAGGAGTCATTGCTGTAAACAACCGATAGCTAGAAAGGCGGGATCCAAGAGTCAATGCTCGATCCTGCAAGCACATATAGGTGAGTACACACACACACACACACTTTTGTATAAGATACTGGGTTCGTCAATGACAAATTTCTGACCATTACCCGGAAGAATACTGTCTACATTTCTTATTTAAAGAAATGTTGACAGTAGTGTTGATATCACTAGTGCTAGTCACTACTGTCACTGACAGTAGTGACAGTAGTATCTGAAGTGTTGATATCTCACACTAGAGCGAGATATCAACACTTCAGACATTTCTGGCTAAAAAAAAAATGTCCTGAGAAACTTTTTTTTCTGAGTAAAGAAATAGAGAGATTTTTTTTAGGAAAGAGGGAAGGTTAGAAGCTTTTTTTTTTTTTTTTTTTTTTTTTTTTTTTTTTTTTTTTTTTTTTTTTTTTTTTTTTTTTTTTTTTTTTTTTTTTTTTTTTTTTTTTTTTTTTTTTTTTTTTTTTTTTTTTTTAGTAAAGAGGGAAGGTTACAATTTTTTTTTTTAGGAAAGAGGGGAGGTTAGAAGTTTTTTTTTTTTAGTAAAGAGAAGGTTAGAAGTTTTTTTGTTTTAGGAAAGAGGGAAGATTAGAAGTTTTTTTTTTTTTTTAGTAAAGAGGGAAGGTTAGAAGTTTTTTTTTTAGTAAAGAGAGAAGGTTAGAAGTTTTTTTTTTAGGAAAGAGGGAAGGTTAGAAGTTTTTTTTTTTTTTTTTTTTTTTAGTAAAGAGAGAAGGTTAGAATTTTTTTTTTTTTTTCTTTTTTTAGGAAAGAGGGGAGGTCAGAATTTTTTTTATAGGAAAGAGGGGAGTTAGGAAACGAGAAATACAGTGAGAGTGTGATGACCCGTGTCAGCAGGGCGGGTTGTCCACCTTGCTGACCCAATGTGTGGAACACCTGGAACACCGGCAGCTGGAACACCGGCAGCTGGAACACCGGCGCCAGGAACACCGGCAGCTGGAACACCGGCAGCTGGAACACCGGCAGCTGGAACACCGGCGCCAGGAACACCGGCAGCTGGAACACCGGCAGCTGGAACACCGGCAGCTGGAACACCGGCAGCTGGAACACCGGCAGCTGGAACACCGGCAGCTGGAACACCGGCACCTGGAACACCGGCACCTGGAACACCGGCACCTGGAACACCGGCACCTGGAACACCGGCGCCTGGAACACCGGCACCTGGAACACCGGCGCCTGGAACACCGGCACCTGGAACACCGGCGCCTGGAACACCGGCACCTGGAACACCGGCACCTGGAACACCGGCGCCTGGAACACTGGCGCCTGGAACACCAGCACCTGGGGGCTAATGCCCCCAGTGCCCAGTGCTCCAGCACCCAGTAGTCCCAGCACCCAGTGCTCCAGCACCCAGTAGTCCCAGCACCCAGTGCTCCAGCACCCAGTAGTCCCAGCACCCAGTGCTCCAGCACCCAGTAGTCCCAGCACCCAGTGCTCCAGCACCCAGTAGTCCCAGCACCCAGTGCTCCAGCACCCAGTAGTCCCAGCACCCAGTAGTCCCAGCACCCAGTGCTCCAGCACCCAGTAGTCCCAGCACCCAGTGCTCCAGCACCCAGTAGTCCCAGCACCCAGTGCTCCAGCACCCAGTAGTCCCAGCACCCAGTAGTCCCAGCACCCAGTAGTCCCAGCACCCAGTAGTCCCAGCACCCAGTAGTCCCAGCACCCAGTAGTCCCAGCACCCAGTAGTCCCAGCACCCAGTTGTCCCAGCACCCAGTAGTCCCAGCACCCAGTAGTCCCAGCACCCAATGCCCTCAGCGCCCTGTACCCTCAGCGCCCTGTACTCTCAGCGATCAAATCTCCACCGTCTCGCAATAGACTTGAATCATAGTATCGCTTCCATCGGGATCACGCTGCCTGGATCTCTCGTCGTACACCTTCTTCACTTCCTTGGGCGAGAGGTCGAGGTAGTTAGGCGGGTCGGCGTAGAACTCCTTGACGAGGTTGTAATAATGGCGACGCATCGTCACCAAATTTTTGGCCCTGAGATTTGGCACTTCGCTAAGGAGAGATAGGGCCAGTGAGTCTCTCTCGCCTATCGTGGGCATCCTATGGTGGGTGAGCACGTTTATTGAACAAATTATCGTGTTATCGGATGCACCCAAGTGATAGGCGAGGGTGATAATAATTTCTGTCCCCGACGATGCGTTGGGAAATGCTGCGTCTGTGCGTCTGGTGTATGCGCAAGACACGTCAGGGTAGCAGGTCAGGCACATCTGCCAGGTGCCTTTTGCGGGGTTCGAAGCTGCCACTGGGTTACAGAGCTCTTTTTCCAGAGGATCGAGCTCGAAGCACGGTTGGGTTGCGAATGTGGAACCCCTACATCTTGTGTCATTGCATTTACTGTAGGATAGTGACAGACTCGTGCTACGTGAGGGGCTCGGGCATAGGGAGGAGTTCATGCAAGGGGAGATGCTCATAAATGGGGAGAGGCTAGAGAATGAGGAGGGGACGGGGTTTAGGAAACGGCTGGGGTTAGGGGAGGGGCCGGGGAATGGGGAAGGGCCGGGGTTTAGGGCAGGGCCAGGGCTTGGGTATGGGTTGGGTTTATGGTTGGGTTTAGGGTAAGGGCGAAATCTTGATGATTCACGGAATTTTTTGTAGGACCTTATCTTACCACCACCATCACCACCATCCTTCTCTGACGTGCCTGCCATCGTGGATGTCCTGTCACGACTTCCATGGCTGTGACTTCCATGGCGGGATGTCTCGCCACGACTCATGTGACTGTGGCTCCCATGGCGGGATGCCTCATCCCTAGTGTGACTTCCGTGGCGGGATGCCTCATCCCTAGTGTGACTTCCGTGGCGGGATGCCTCATCCCTAGTGTGACTTCCGTGGCGGGATGCCTCATCCCTAGTGTGACTTCCGTGGCGGGATGTCTCGTCTCGAGACCCCTGAGCGTGACTCCCATGGCGGGATGTCTCATCCCGACTTACGTGAGTGTAACTGCCATGACGGGATGTCTCGTCCCTAGTGTGACTGCCATGGCGGGATGTCTCGTCCCTAGTGTGACTGCCATGGCGGGATGTCTCATCCCTAGTCAGCTGACTGTGACTCCCGTGACGGGATGTCTCGTCACGACTCACGTGACTCCCATGGCGGGATGTCTCATCCCTAGTGTGACTCCCACGGCGGGATGTCTCATCCCTAGTGTGACTCCCACGGCGGGATGTCTCGTCCCTAGTCAGCTGACTGTGACTCCCGTGACGGGATGTCTCGTCACGACTCACGTGACCCCCATGGCGGGATGTCTCGCCCCCAGTAAGCTGACTGTGACTCCCGTGGCGGGATGCCTCGCCCAGAGTGCCTTGAAGGGGACCCCCGTGACCATGTACCCGTGTGCGAGTTACCTGATGGGGGCCCCGAGGACCATCGTCCCCATCGGGAATCCCTGGAGCCCAACTCACCCTCTTGCCGGGCAAGAATTTCCGGGATACGAACGGGGGCAACACCTCGCGGCACATGTACACGATCACCTGGCCGATGGTCCACTCGGAGATCACTCTCCCGAGGCTCAACCAGAAGCTGTGGCGCCGGTCTCTGGGGGTCGGAGCCCCCCCCACCAGCCGCCCCAAGAGGGGAACGCGGCTGAACTTTCCCCACCAGCTGGCCTCGAACTGCGCCTGCTGGAGGCGCAGCTGGTGCACCTCTCCCATCTGGGTCAACCACCGGTACAGCCAACGCAAGAAGACTATGAGGGTCAGCAACAAGTTCACCTTCAGGGTAACTTGTGTGATTTCGTAGAACATCTTGATAGCTGAAATTTTCTGAAAAGTTTTGATTAAATTTGATTTTGTATAAAATTTTGGTCACTTAGACGTGACCAAATTACGAGAAAGGGAGTTTTTGTCCTCTATGATAACAGATAAACATCAATGGTAAACTCAATGGTAAACCCAGCCACTTGGGCTGGACGGTAGAGCGACTGTCTAGCTTCATGCAGGTCGGTGTTCAATCCCCGACCGTCCACAAGTGGTTGGGAACCAATCCTTCCCCCCGTCCCATCCCAAATCCTTATCCTGACCCCTTCCAAGTGCTATATAGTCGTAATGACTTGTCGCTTTCCCCCCCTGATAGTTCCCTTCCCTTCTCTCTCTCTCTCTCTCTCTCTCTCTCTCTCTCTCTCTCTCTCTCTCTCTCTCTCTCTCTCTCTCTCTCTCTCTACACCACAAGCAGGGGGGAGGTTCGTATACTATAGAGTGAACAGGTCAGCCACTCCACCTGCTAAATTAATACATCGTAAATGAGACGTTGACACGGTCGATCAACGTTCTAGCTTCAACCACCGACGGCTCGAGGACCTCGACCCTCTCTAGTGGTTAACTGGACAACCATCTGCCTCTCTTATTCTTTGTTTCGCTCTATTAGCACACAGTTGTTCCACAATTATTATAGTCTTGGAGTTTTTCTACGTTTATAGAGCACTAGGCCTCTAGTAAGTGGGGTATAGAGCACTAGGCCTCTAGTAAGTGGGGTATAGAGCACTAGGCCTCTAGTAAGTGCGGTATAGAACACTAGGCCTCTAGTAAGTGCGGTATAGAGCACTAGGCCTCTAGTAAGTGTGGTATAGAGTACTAGGCCTTTAGTAAGGGATGTATAGAGCACTAGACCTGCAGGCATAGTGCAGGTCGCCGTTCAATCCCCGAGCTCCCAAGTGGTTGGACACCATATGACACCATCCCATCCCATTTCCTTATCCTGATAATTGATATCTTATCTGGTTATCTAGTGCCCCAGTGCCTAGTGCCTCAGTGCCAGGTGCCCCAGTGCCTAGTGCCTCAGTGCCTAGTGCCCAGTGCCTCAGTGCCCCAGTGTCTACTGCCACAGTGTTTAGTGCCACAGTGTCTAGTGCCCCAGTGTCTAGTGCCCCAGTGTCTAGTGCCACAGTGTCTAGTGCCACAGTGTCTAGTACCTCAGTGTCTAGTGCCACAGTGTCTAGTGTCCCAGTGTCTAGTGTCACAGTGTCTAGTGCCACAGTGTCTAGTGTCCCAGTGTCTAGTGTCCCAGTGTCTAGTGCCCCAGTGTCTAGTGCCACAGTGTCTAGTGCCACAGTGTCTAGTGCCACAGTGTCTAGTGCCACAGTGTCTAGTGCCACAGTGTCTAGTGCCACAGTGTCTAGTGTCCCAGTGTCTAGTGTCCCAGTGTCTAGTGCCACAGTGTCTAGTGTCCCAGTGTCTAGTGTCCCAGTGTCTAGTGCCCCAGTGTCTAGTGCCCCAGTGTCTAGTGCCACAGTGTCTAGTGCCACAGTGTCTAGTGCCACAGTGTCTAGTGCCCCAGTGTCTAGTGCCACAGTGTCTAGTGCCCCAGTGTCTGGTGCCAGTGTCTAGTGTCACAGTGTCTAGTGCCACAGTGTCTAGTGCCCCAGTGTCTAGTGCCCCAGTGTCTAGTGTCCCAGTGTCTAGTGTCACAGTGTCTAGTGTCCCAGTGTCTAGTGCCACAGTGTCTAGTGTCCCCGTGTCTAGTGCCACAGTGTCTAGTGTCCCAGTGTCTAGTGCCACAGTGTCTAGTGCCACAGTGTCTAGTGTCCCCGTGTCTAGTGCCACAGTGTCTAGTGCCACAGTGTCTAGTGCCACAGTGTCTAGTGCCCCAGTGTCTAGTGAAGTGTCTAGTGCCCCAGTGTCTAGTGCCACAGTGTCTAGTGCCCCAGTGTCTAGTGTCCCCGTGTCTAGTGCCACAGTGTCTAGTGTCCCCGTGTCTAGTGCCACAGTGTCTAGTGCCACAGTGTCTAGTGCCACAGTGTCTAGTGCCACAGTGTCTAGTGCCACAGTGTCTAGTGCCACAGTGTCTAGTGTCTCAGTGTCTAGTGCCACAGTGTCTAGTGCCACAGTGTCTAGTGCCACAGTGTCTAGTGCCACAGTGTCTAGTGCCACAGTGTCTAGTGCCCCAGTGTCTAGTGCCCCAGTGTCTAGTGTCCCAGTGTCTAGTGTCCCAGTGTCTAGTGCCCCAGTGTCTAGTGTCCCCGTGTCTAGTGCCACAGTGTCTAGTGTCCCCGTGTCTAGTGCCACAGTGTCTAGTGCCCCAGTGTCTAGTGCCACAGTGTCTAGTGCCACAGTGTCTAGTGTCCCAGTGTCTAGTGCCCCAGTGTCTAGTGCCACAGTGTCTAGTGCCACAGTGTCTAGTGTCTCAGTGTCTAGTGCCACAGTGTCTAGTGCCACAGTGTCTAGTGCCACAGTGTCTAGTGCCACAGTGTCTAGTGCCACAGTGTCTAGTGCCCCAGTGTCTAGTGCCCCAGTGTCTAGTGTCCCAGTGTCTAGTGCCACAGTGTCTAGTGCCCCAGTGTCTAGTGTCCCCGTGTCTAGTGCCACAGTCTAGTGCTGTCTAGTGTCCCCGTGTCTAGTGCCACAGTGTCTAGTGCCACAGTGTCTAGTGCCACAGTGTCTAGTGCCACAGTGTCTAGTGCCACAGTGTCTAGTGCCACAGTGTCTAGTGTCTCAGTGTCTAGTGCCACAGTGTCTAGTGCCACAGTGTCTAGTGCCACAGTGTCTAGTGCCACAGTGTCTAGTGCCACAGTGTCTAGTGCCCCAGTGTCTAGTGCCCCAGTGTCTAGTGTCCCAGTGTCTAGTGTCCCAGTGTCTAGTGCCCCAGTGTCTAGTGACACAGTGTCTAGTGCCACAGTGTCTAGTGCCACAGTGTCTAGTGCCACAGTGTCTAGTGCCACAGTGTCTAGTGCCACAGTGTCTAGTGCCACAGTGTCTAGTGTCTCAGTGTCTAGTGCCACAGTGTCTAGTGCCACAGTGTCTAGTGCCACAGTGTGTAGTGTCTCAGTGTCTAGTGCCACAGTGTCTAGTGCCACAGTGTCTAGTGCCACAGTGTCTAGTGTCTCAGTGTCTAGTGCCACAGTGTCTAGTGCCACAGTGTCTAGTGCCACAGTGTCTAGTGTCTCAGTGTCTAGTGCCACAGTGTCTAGTGCCACAGTGTCTAGTGCCACAGTGTCTAGTGCCACAGTGTCTAGTGCCACAGT